TTTGCTAWAGAAGTTGTCTCAAAGTTCACAGTTTATGACCCATTTGGCTTGCCATACATCAACCTCTCGCTCTTCACCACTAACAGAAAAACGTCTGTGATTCAGTCCATTTTACACAAATTAGGCTAAAGTTGTGTGAGTCATCYCCAATACATGCATGACCTAATAATATCTTTGTTAGCAAAATATCTCATGAACTAATGGATGAATTTTAATGAAACTCTCAAAAAGCTATTACTGAATATCCAATATGGCCGCCAGGGCTTTTTAACATCATCAAACCCCAAAATTGGTTAAATCTCTGCTAATTGCATCTGTTCCCTTTTTAATCTCAGATKATCATAAACATCATAGTCCATGGAGATTCCTGCCTCACCTCCTCTGTCAGTCTGTCCACCACCAGAGTAAACAAGAAGGAGCTCAAACATATATCTCACATGTCTGAGAGGGAACTTTGGTAAAGCATCACTTTCAAATCAWCAGTGATGCAACATTAGTTTCATGGTGCGTTCACACCAAACGCGATTTCAGCGTCAGGAGCAGCAGGTTTACATDCAAAGTCTATGGTGGACGCGCTTCAAGCAACGTCGGGAAGTTCTGCGGCGCCTCAAGTGCGATTAGAGCAGCRCGATTTGGACGATTTGGACGATCTGAGCGTCGAACGCTCAGATCGTCCAAATCGTTCAAATCGCTGAAGTTAGAAAATCTGAACTTTTGAAGCTCGACGCGCCACGTCAACCAATCAGAGAGACTCCACTGTGTGACGTAGTGACATATTTCCCGACGGGACAGTTTACTGAATGATGTCCACTAACCTGAAACAGACAGAGAGGAGCTCTTCAGCTGAAATGACTGCCTGCAGTCAGTGTCCTGATCCGCAGCAATGCGTGACAGCGACTCATCAGACTGAAAAAATAGTCCTGAAAGCAGCTGTGAGCCTCTACTCTGAACTATCTGGTGAATTAATTATGAATTAATTATCTGATGAACGTGACATGCTCTTGTTCTCTGTAAATAAAGCAAAGCCACTTCCTCGTCCGACATTAAACGGAGCCCGACAGAGGAGGGAGGGGCGGGGCGGCTGTCGCCGTGCGGCGCTTCAACAACTGTCCTGCGTCTGACCTCAAAGTGCACAAGCTTCAAACTTCAGCGTTGGCTGCGATTTTGAAGCTGAAATCGCRTTCGGTGTGAACGCACCATAATGGAGAGTCTGACTCGAGTTRTTCTGGTAAACAGTTGAGTCAATTTAAAGGCACACTCCAACTGATTTTTAATTTTAATTCCAAGCTCTCTTCAAATCCATCTCATGTTGGACTCTGTAAAAGCAGGATTAACACCCTGCATTAATTACAAGACAAACATTTTTTTATGTTTGATGCAACAAACTCATATCAAATTCAATTAATCCTTCCAAAAACTGTTCCTACTGCATGTTACTTTTGGACAGAGCTGAGCAAATATTTGTGCAAAGTTGCTGACTTTATTTTAGATGATTTCAGATTCCTCCAATCATAACTTGTCTTAAGAGGACCGTCGGGCTTTAATTAGGGCATAAATATCAGCGTGTACCAAACAGCTCTGAGACTGCAGAGCTAATRGGGAGCGGAAGCATGGCTGGAGCTTTTAAGTACCCAGATTTCCCAGGAATATATTGGTCGAAACATTAATTAAAGTTAGAAAATGAAATCAAATTTTACACTTGAGCTGCTGCTCGATGRCCATACATCAGGGACTGGAACTTGTGCTGATTTTCAGCAGCGTGACCTTTTGATTTTTATTTTTTGGGGCCCTGACTTCATCACTGTGAAGCCTCGCCCTCCAGCCACAAAAGGCTGTTTGGACCCTGAAACTCGAAGGCACCTAAAGTCGTGCCAAAAGCTCCATTTMGTGTTTTACGAGCAGCCCTCCAGGGGAAATACTCCTGTGTGATTAATTTCCATTTCAAAGCTAAAAGTGTGTGGAGTGATGTCAGGAGAAAGGGTTTGAAGTGGTGCACACGCAAATGGGAGCAAGAAAATAAAATAAATAATGCTCGCAGGGAAACAGTATGGTGCGGCGGCGCAGCAAAAAACAAGCTTTTTTAACAATATGCATGTGAGCCTCCTCTCATGTGAGCCAGCACAAGCATTACCATACACTTTCAAAGCAGCTCAGGGTCACACATTTACCTCTTCAATTGTTACTTCATTCGACTTGTCTTCTGAAAGCAGCGTGTGTTTTTTTTCCCTTTATTATTTTCAAACCACCTACCCAATTCCGCCACCTGCCGACCCCACCACTCCCTCCCATCCTGCAGCCTCTAATTGGCCCGGCGTCCTTCGCCGTGGAGAGTGGTGCTAAGAGCCAGATGGAGCATGCTAGCAGGCTAATAGAGACATCTCGAAATGCCAGGTCGCCGACTCGGCCGCGCGCTCTCCTCCCAGCCTTGTCACGCTGCTTACAGTTAACCTTTTCATTAGACGGCATTTGTCCACAACAGAGTTTTTTTTTCTCGAGTCGAGCGTGTGGGCCGACGACACGGTACAGCAGGGGCAGGACGTGAAAGGATGCATGTCAGTGTGGGGAGAAGAACTAGAAGGTCTAGGAGAACAAAACCTTGGCTTGAGGTTTTAGAAAAATGCTTAATTTTCTCACTGATGTATGTTTAATAACCTGGAAGAGATGTCTTCATTTAAATAGTGTTCATATCACTGAAAATCTGGGGGGGGGGGGGGGGGGGGGGGGGGGGCTTTGTTGTGTTGTTGTCACATTTACGTTATTTGACAAATATAGGAATACAAGAGAATATTGCCTGAGCTAGAGATTAAGTCTTCAAGTTTTTTTATTTACAGTTGATTTTACTGAGAAAATCACTGTCAGTGCACAACTTACTGAAGCTTGGTCTCTCCTAAACTTATATTTACACAACCTCCTGAAAGTTCAGGACATTGGTTTTAGAGTGRGTGTCCTTAATTGGGGAACTAGATATTAGGTTTGATTTTTAATTTTAAATTAAATATATTTGTGGTGTCCTGAAACCAGTTTTTCCTCAAACCAATCACAAGTACTTTAATTTGTGTACTTGCTGATGCCAAGAACTGATACCTAGTATTTACTGAGGTACAACCTAAAAAAATCATTTTATTTGTTTTTTAAATTTAGAACCAGGTGRCTCTCCTTCCTTAGGCCTACAGCCCCTCTGACTGTATCAAATAAAATATACAGCATGATGCACACTGTTACAAAGTTTTAAAATAAATAAAAAGAAAATATCTTCAAACTACAAACTTTTTTTTACCTGTGTTCACCTGCGCAGCGGAAGTAAAAATGGCATCACCAAGCATAAAAATGAGATCAGTCTCAAGTATTAGTGCTATTTTCTTTTTTTAGGGCTATTTTCAATGTGTATTTGTAAAAAAGCTGGTATAGTTTTAACTCCTAATTGGTTATGAGTTTTTACYAATTCTACATATAGGAGAGAGAAAATGCACAACAGCTTTGGACACAGGAAKAAAACTGGTTGGTCAAGGGAGGGGCAAGTGGTAGGATCATATATTTTTGGAAGTGCCCCCACCAGCCCCTCCCTGGTGGCGCCCCTGACTACAAACTGATAAAAGCGTCAAAATTGATCCCATCTTCCTAACAGGTATCTCTGAGCCTGTAACTCAGGTTAGATCGGCTTCAATTCAAAACACTTTACTGATAAAACACTTATTAATAAATGTTTATTTGTACTAAATGAAGCACTTGTTTGTGTTTGTTTGGAGATCGTTGATACAAGAGGTCTCCTCAGTGTTTGATACATGTTCTCTGACAGATCCTCGTTATAACAATTGATTATTCACTTCTGGCTGACCTTCACCGGCCAACGGTCAGCTTATCGTCTCTAAACAAAGTGCAGCGTGGAGCTGGTGTACTGTTCAGCTGACATCGGCCCCAGCAAACAGGGACAGCTTCGACCTTTTACCAGATGGCCTCTGTGATAAACTGCAGATAAACTACTCAGTAATTTTGGCAACAAATTACGTGCTGAACGATGCGCCGTTCGTCTCAGCCCATTGATAAAAGAACGCCTCAGTTAATTACACTGACATCAATAAATGGATCTAACTTGAAATGTCAGATTGGTTTTAATGCATTATGATACATTTATTTAAGTCTATTACAAAGTGCTGTCAGTATAATAAAGTTGTTTATCCAGGTTTACAAATGACAATTTTCTACAAACCAGAAATGTTTAGTAAGACTACACTGTAAAACTTCATTCAGAGGCTCAGTAAATGTCACTATATTTATAAGTTAGATGACCTGATAAAATCTCTGAATATCATGCATGTGATTTTTTGAGTTGGTTGCACTAAAATAAATGTCTGAAAATTGAACATATGTTTTTTGTGTTAAATTAAGGTATTTTATTTACATTTATTTAAGAGAAAAACTCGAGTAACTGGTTAGGGTTAGGTTAGTTACTGTTTTAGTTAGGTTACTGGGGTTCACGGTGGTCTCAGAAAGCACTACCTCCCAACTAGTGTCATTTACTGCAGTTTCTCGCTGTCCAAATGCACCTGATGTCCAAAAACAGGTTGTAGCAAGAACAAAAAGGATTTGTAGTGCCGGGCCTGTGCCCATTTACGCTGTTGTACACAATAAAAGAAGCATGCCTCTCTGCCTGATTAAACAGACATAAAGTTTCCATTAATATCACAAGCAAAAAAAAGTCTTCCTTAATGTTTTGATATGAAATGCAGCCCAACAGTTGTGGTAATTAGATGTGTTAGAGATACAGAAAGTGATTTAAACTTTATTATGATGTATCTGGTTTAATTATYGCCTACCACGGACACAGGATACTGAGCTAAAACTCGGTGTGGTAGTAACAGAGTGATTCAAACCCCTTCAGGAGTTGTTCTCCCATTCTGACTCACTTTTATAGTAACTTGTCCACACATTGACAAATACAACAAGGCTTTAATCATTGTAAACTATATTAATTAGATTTGATCAGCTACAAAAGCTCKTACTTGATGTCGCTTTCTTGAACTCGTTCCTCGTCAAGATCCTCGATAAACTTATCCCCCTTCATCCAGTAGATGAGTGGGCTGGCGTCTCCGCTGTAGCCGAAGAACGCTCTGCACGTGAGGTTGACAGGACTTCCTGTGGGGAAACAAGAGGACAGGAAATGAGAAAACACCTGCACGGATCGGACACGTCCGCCGCCAGCATCCAGCTCGTTTGAACACAAGGCTCTATTTTTAATCTGTCAGCGATCAAGCGGTGCGCACAAACATACAAACAGGCACAGAACATTACCGGCCACGTGTGCAGAAGATTGTTCCTGGAGATTCTGTGATTTCTGCTTCGACAGGCACTCATTCTAAACATCTCAACTTATTTCTGATTATTAAACCTAATTTCTCTTCCATTCCTACCCTTCAAATATTTCTTAACAACCTCACTAATTCCATTTTTAGCTCTCCAGATGGGCCATCACCCGTCGGAGACCCTTTTTTTAAATTCCCCAAATGCCTATTAAACTTTAAACATTCTTGAACCCTCCTTAAAGCAAACTTTGCAACCCTTCTACAGCACCAYAAAAGCTCTTCAACAGTTACTTTCTTTGCTAAATGTTCATTTTAGGTTTCAGTCACTGCGTTTGTAGTGTGTTAAACATAAAAACAGAAGTACAGTGCAGCCTTTTGCTCCTTTTGGATCTGTGGAAATATGGAGGTGATTAGGTTCATTCTCATTCACTTCACTGCGTTTAGGATTTAATGTGGATGGGGAAAAAATAAATTTATTGTTGCCAGTAGCAAAATCCAAAAGAAAAAGAWGGAATTTGGTGGATTGCAGATCAACAAAGTGATTAAAAAACAAACTTTAAGACTCGTATAGCACCTTTATGGACCATGATTGCATCAAATTGTTTGAGATAAAACTCTTTCACACTTTTTCTTAAAGCAATTATGACAATACAGACAATAGAAAAATCACGTAATAAGATTTTATTGAAATTATTAGCTAATAAAACACTGACAATTGACACATTCAGTATATTTATTAGTAAATCTTTGTCTCATTTGTGTACTCAAAGATTTATATTCCTTTACAATTATCCTGTCAGGGAATAAAAATTCAAAATTAGCCTGTAAAACTAAATTTACAATACTAATGTTCAATAAAGTGAATTTCACATCATTTTTAAACTTGCTACATAGGACATACAATTAATTTTTATTTTTAATTTATATGTAGGGATAGCACCAAAATGTCAGCTCACAACTATATTCAGATTTTGTTTCTTTTTAAAACTTTATTAAACTTTTTTATATCCATAAATTAATCCATTATTGTCTTTACTTGCTGGGTTCTGTTCAGGATCATGGGGAGATGGTGGGACACACCTTGGATAGTTTGTCATCCATCACAGGGACACAGAAGTGAAGGAGACAACCAACCACAGCACACAGACTGGAGTACCTGGAGAGAACTCATCCGTAGAAATACACCCCCCCCCCCACACACACACCCATTCCCCACAGCCTGCAGCTGAACCCAAGCTGAACCTTTTCACTGTTACAGACCCAATCAACAGCATCACCTGTCCTAAAGATKGATTTTGAAAACATACTGACATTAGACGCTGCGCTGCTTCAGTCATTTCTGCTGGGAATTTTGGAAACAGAGTTGTTTACATGTGGGAGTAGCTTTCCAAATCTAACCGATGCTTGAATAAATAACTAAATCCACAAGAAGTTAGAGAGGAAATGTTTCAAATATGGAGCAGGACAAAAAATTGTTGAGGATAAACCATTTCTTCACTCAGTGGTTAGATTTGCAGCTCATGCAACGGGACAACTGACAAGAGCAAAGTGGGAATATTCATAATTCACTTAATGTTTTATTTAGATCAGGCTGCAGCTAAATGTTTAAAATTTTACACTTCCATTAAACAAACTATTTAACTCAAAGGACAGACAGGAACAGACTGAATGACATAATCTCTTTAGCTACTTATTTTCTGCTGGAAGTCATGACTGTATTCACATTTTATTCATTTTCTTGATCAATTTTTTAAATTTCTTCATAATATCTAGTAAAACTAAAATCAAAAGCTTCAGTAAGTGAACATTTTTTGTCTGATTAATATAGTATGAATCAAACAGACAAAATGAGTCAGTCAGATAACCCAATGTGTTTAAACAGGAAGTCATTTTTGAAAAAAAAAACACGTTCTCAAATGGGAAGAATTTGTTCCTTTTATGGTAAAATACAGCAGCATTCCCAGTATATAACAAAGTGAGACTCAGTGTTTTGGCTTTGCACAAACTAAAGTGGTCAACATCCACCACTGTGAATGTTGACCACCCTCCCTCCACATGTTGATTATAGTCTGTRTTCAGGTGATGTCATCAAAGCACAAGTGGCCCATTGCTGGAGCCATAGAAGAAGTGTGTCCTGAATCAGTTAGTGTATTTTTTCCATTGTATCAAAATGATGGTAATTTTCTTGCCATGTAGATGTCTGCCACAGTAAGTGAGATCGAGAGGAAGTTATCAGGAATCAAGAGGAAAATAGCAAACAGCTTTTTTCTGAAATAAAAGGGTGTCCTGAGCCCGGCACATTTTGAATCCACTTCCTCTGGATCAGAAACATWTCACCACATAAATGCAGTGAAGTTTACACTAATGTTGCTTATCGTCCTATCCAAATGGACTGCAAATATAATTGAAATCCTAAACTAATTTAAATCTGTTCATTTTTTTGTGGCTTTTAAGTGGATTTAAAATTTTGCCCACAGTTATACAATAACTGTGGTGGTTTATAACAAATTGACAACAATTAATTTTTATCTAAATGCTATTAGAATTTAAACKTACAGAAATAATAAAATCAGTCTGTTTTAATTTGTTCATATATCATTTAACCCTGCATTTGGATATGCGTGCCATCTGGCATCCATSAGGGGATTCTGCAGCGCCCTCCTCACCCCCACTTCCCATAGTCTTAGGCCACTGACTGTTAGGAGTAGAGCCAGAAGTTGAAGCCACAATGGTTGAGCACCCTCTAAAGGGTTGGCTGCTAGTTTCTAAGCCCTGCCCCTGATTTTGTTAGTTCACATAGTTTTTAAGGTAGTACTGCGAAAAAAATAAATAAAGAAAGAAAATACATTTTTCTATCCCCCTGCACAATTTTTATTTATTTGTTTGTTTGCGCTTAACTTAATCTAAAAATAATTAAAATAAATTGTAAATGTAAAATTTATAATCTATGATTCAGTGCAACAATATAAATTTAAAAGGTAAAAGATAATACTTGTTCCGTTACATCCTACAGTGTTTCATCTATGAACAATGGGCAATGCCGCAAACCCCCTGGACCCCCGGAAGGGCAGCCGGTTCTGACGTTATCAGTCCATTAAATGGAGGTTATTAGTGGTTAGCAGTCCCATAGAATTACTTCAGACTGTCCCAACAGTGCCCCCTAGTGGGTTAATATATCAATGACATTGAATGTGTAAATAACAAAACCATATTTTAATCAATTTTTTGTCTGAGGTTGGGTTCTCACTGTTTTCTTGCTGCCCGTGCCTGGTATTGATCCTTGCTCTGCCGCTCTCTGGTCCGGCACTCTACCCATTGTCCTATGTTGGGCCTGCAACAATTGACTACTTTATCGTAGCCCATGTCATTTTCTCTAAAATTAACCTTAGTGGCTTTATGCCTCATATTAACCAGCTGACAGTCTGAAGCCATTCTATGGGACTGATAAGGACTAATGTCGTCCATTTAATGGATGATAACATCCGAAGCGGGTGGGCAGGGGGATGTCAGGACCACTGACCTGTTGGCTTTGAGTAACCGTGGCCTCTGGAGCAATTTAGTTGAATAGTCCTGGTTTACAGAACGTTTTGCGACATTCACAGTGACTAACAATGTTGTTGCTTAAATTTTCAACATGAGAGACATTCTGGTTTAAAACTGAGTCATCGAGGGTGTCTTGAACCAGCCTTAATTTCGTTTCATCATTTCAAACACCTCTCGAGACAGCAAGTGTTACCTGCACAGTAACTCTATTCACAGAAATAATCTGAGGCCGCAGCTACAAATATCCAGATCTAAAGACCACGCCAATCTCATCCTAATCTGCCTAGCTTCATTTCCAAATCTTACCAGATTGAGCCAAGGCAGAACCACTGTGGCCAGAGGTGGGGTACACAAAATAACGTGCACGGCTAACAGTTTTAAAAGCTTGACCCAAAATATAGGCTGTGATTTTTCAAAAATTGTCAATGCAGCAACACAACTTTGCAGCTCACAAACACTCAAAATTCAGTCAGACTGCAAACTTAAAACTTGTACATTTTCTCAAATATTGAGTCAAATTTGAGTCAGCAACTCACAGCCCAGTGTGTTACTACTTTTACTTTGCTGCTGCATGCAGATATACATGATACACTGTGCCTGACAGCCTGTAAGTGATTTTAAAGGTGGGACGGCCAGACTTTTGTATCGAAGGTATGGCTCCACATCTCTAGTACACAAATTCTGCCAACAAAAATACAACCTAGCAGCACCTGAAAAACATTTTGGCTTGAGATTTGGACAATCAAAGCTACTGAAGTTTGCCCATCCTTACTTTTGTCTATGCCTTTCAGAGACATTTACACCCCTGCTTTGGATCACAGACCTCTTGTTTCCCAGTTTATGGCACACATGCTCCAACTGATGGCACAAGAACAAGACAAGAAGAAAACAAAAAAAGACCTGCATCAATGACACTAAGTAATGACTCGGAAACATTGGAGATCAGCTGTGTTTAGCAAGGTGAAAAGGTGATTCASCATCTCTTTAGTAGCTATTCTTGGTAACTGGCCTCGTGGCAACAATTCAGAAGACTGTGAGATGGGAGATAACTGTGGCGTATAATTGGGTGCTTGCTAGTTTTAAAAAATAGGGGATTTTATTTTACCCGAGCCTGCTTTAAATGGATCGTCTGAAAGTTAGATGTTGAAAGTTAACCGGAAACTCCCTGTGTTAGAGGACAGTTTTAGATTTCAGCTCAGCAAAAATTAGAGAAWAAAATTGTCCACAGCTGAGCGATTGTGCAGGTGTGAACGCAAAAACAAATGAAGACAACGACTTTTGGGATGCTAG